GGAAGCTAGGAAATCAATACATTGAGAGGTCTCTGTAAAAGATTGTATAAAATGCATGCATGCAGGCTGATGGTGTTTTAAATGCATATTGATTAGGATTTTGAGCAGATTGCAGAAGCCTTGGATGAGGCCGTTTGACATTCATTTTGTCCTTCCCTGTATTTTCCCCCCTCATTCGCATCAGTAACCCCCATTTGTACAGTAAAATGGTTTTTACCTCAGTCCTGGAGGCTGAACATGGGCAGAAGTGAACTCAGAACAATGGGGGTTGTGCTGATGTCACATGACTGGATGAAGTGTCCTCTGGAGACAGCGGAAAACGACGTGACCCAGCGTATACCTCTGAAAGCGTGTGCCCTTGGTGTTATTTTCAGTAAAAATAGTAGTAGAAGAACACAAAGACACTTAAAGCATAGATATTTATTAAACTCATTCAATGGAGAATATTGGAAAGTAGGGCTGCACAATTAATCAAATTTCTAATCGCGATTATAATTATGGATGCCACAATTACGTAATCGGTCAAAGCGGCAATTAATCGTTCAAAGTCCACTTATGTTATTCTGCGTGCGTAAGATGCGTTTTTTTCTTTCTACATGTTATCTTAAGGGTTTTTCCCATTATTTTAATTTTAGTTTTAGTATAACATTATAATACCATTCATATTTTTACTTTTTTATAATTTAAAGAAGAAACCAATCCGATGTTTAGTTGACATTTGAGGCTTAATACTATAGAAAAGCACAAAGTTTTTCAGTTAGAGTGTTTTCAGCTGGTTTATTTTCATATAAAAATACGGCATGCACTTGCATAAAACAATTGTATAAACATCATTCAATGTAATTTGTGATAATCGCAGTTACAATTTCAAGGGAATAATCGACAATTACGATAATAATTTTTGTCATAATCGTGCAGCCCTATTGGAAAGCGAGTAAATAATGGCTAAGAATAAAAGATATGTAAATCTTTGTTTAAATTTATTTTATTTATGAATCAAAGTAAATCAAATGCAAATGAAACATACAATGCATAATCTCCTAGTGTCATTTTTTTTTCCATCTTTTGACAGCCTTGTCAATGGGAGTGTCATTTTAATATTATAATATATACTATATAAGATTTAGTACTTGGTATTTTATATACCACATAGTATTTTGTAATATTTTGAATGAACTTTTTTTTTTTTTTCAGATTTTATGTACATTTAGTTTAGATTTTTACTTTTGTCATTTTCTTATTTATATACTATATAAGATTTAGTACTTGGTATTTTATATACCATACAGTATTTTGAATGAGCTTTTTTTTATATTTTCAGTTTTTATTTTAATTTCAGTTTAGATTTAGTTTTGCGCTTTTGTCATTTTCTTTTATTTGTTTTTAAATAATTCTAATTAACTTTATTTTTATTTTAGTTTTTAGTAATTTCAATTTAAACTTATTTTATTTCAGTTAATTGCATTGTTAATTCATGTAATAACTTTGAATTAACAGCTTTATTTCAATTAATTAACAGTTTTATTTGGATTTAGTTTTTGTTTAGTTAACTTTACATATTAAACTTTTTTAATAGTTTTAGTTAACGATACCAACACTGGTCAGTGAAGTGAGTATTTTTAGTAACTAAATATTGTGTAACATGTTATTTTACATTAAATTATGATATTAAACTGTCGGCTACTATTCACGCTGGATATTGGCTTTGGCTATTGACAAACCCATACTGATCAAACACTAGAATGTACATATATTATCATAGGTATTCTTGACCTGATTTTCATAGCATAAAGCATCATCTTTGTGTGAAAACACAAATGAGACATTAATGAAGCTCTGCTGAGGATTTGAATTACATAAGGTACTCTGAATTCTGCTGGCTACAAAAAGAAACATCCTACACGTTTTGGTAGGTTTTGCTTGTATCTGAGGCATTTTGAAAAAATGAAAAGAACAGAAATCTGACAAATATGTTTTCATTGGCACGCTTTATCAGATCGTTTTGCTCTCAGTTTGATTAGCTTTGGCCCTCATTCACATAAATTGCTATTGGAATCAATGCTAAATCTCCTGTTAGCTAAACTGCCTGCTAATCTCTTCACATTCACTAAAACATGCTTTGTGTTTAAACACCCATAATCCATCTGGATTCGGCCAGGATTCAGTGTTTTTATCCACAGAGGAGCTTAACTCTCTATCACTGCACCAGCACAAATGTCAAAACCACAAAATCCCCCTGAGCGCCTTTATTCTGACACTTCAACCAGATGGCTAGCATTGCAATCATGCTAATATTGGCCCCAACACACAAAAATGGTCGCCTCCGCCCAATCCCTGCATGATGGGATTACTTACATCAGAGTGAGTAGAGAGATCAGCCATAGAGCAGAAGCAGTAGTTAGAGATAGAGATTCCTCATAGATTCAACTCTCAACGATCAGCTATGTTCATTTAATATTGTCTGTAAGCAGCACAATCATGGCATCTGAACAGGGGGAGATTCTGAAGATAAACAGATTCAATTTGCTGCCATAGGAAACGCTGTCTCTGTCTCACATCTGATAGCGCCCCAGCTTCCCAATCTGCAACAAATACACTTTACAGGGAATGGTGCACACTGAATAAGTTCCCTTTTTGTTAATACAGAGCATTATGGCTTTCAGCATCAGCATAACACTTCATTAGCATAAGATAATGGGGAAAAAAGCAAACAAACACAATAAAAACTAATAAAAACAAATAATAAAAAAAACATTTGTGAATTTTACTAGTAATTACGACTTTATTTTTCACAATTGCCACTTTTATATCTGGCAAATTAGCTTTTTTTTATCCTTATAATTGTGACTTTATATCTTACAATTGGTCTTTTTTCTTGTAACTGTGACTTTATATCTTACGATATCCGCTTTTTCTCATAATTGTTATTTTTTGTCACAATCAACACCTTTTCACATAATTGCGACTATATATCTCTCAACTGGCATTTTTGTTCTCAGAATTATGACTTTATATCTCACAATATCTTCTTTTTACACATAATTTTACATAACATTTTATATACCACACCTGACGTTGTTTTCTAGTAATTTCGTAATAATTTCTAATAATCTCATAGTGTGACTAACTCACAATTGACACTTTTCTCATAAATGAGACTTTATATCTCGCAATCTGATTTTATTTCACAACTGTCATTTTTTCCCCTCATATTTGTGATTTTATATCTCACAATCTGACTTTATATTTCACAAATGGCATTTTTTCCCCTCATATTTGTGATTTTATATCTCACAATCTGACTTTATATTTCACAAATGGCATTTTTTCCCCTCATATTTGTGATTTTATATCTCACAATCTGACTTTATATTTCACAAATGGCATTTTTTCCCCTCATATTTGTGATTTTATATCTCACAATCTGACTTTATATTTATATTTCTTGTAATTGCGAGTGCGACTTTATATCTCACAATTGCTGCTTTTTCTCATTATTGTCACATTATATTTCATAATCAATGCTTTTTTTTCACATAATTGTGACTATATATCACAATTGATGTTTTTTTTTCTAGTATTGATGACCATTTCATAATTGCTGCTTTTTTTTCTTCACATAACTGCCGTTTTATTTCTGGCAATCTAACTTTATATCTCACATTTTACTTTTTTCTTGTATTTGTGACTTTATACTGTATATCACAACTGCTACTTTTTTCTCATAATAGTCACTTTATATCTCACAATCAAAATTTTCACATATTTGTGACTATATCTCTCAATTGTCCTTTTCCCCCCTCATACTTGGGATTTTATATCCCACAGTCGTGACTTTATATCTGAGAATTTGACTTTTACATCTCTTTACATACAATTTTTGCTCGCTGATGTGACTTTATTTCTGTGATTGGGTGGGTAAAGTTTCATAAGAACCAGTCTCGCCCACCTGGAGTTACATTCCTGATCACAGTGTTAAAATAACCCAGATGAACTGGATTTCATGAATATGATTCTTTTTCAGCAGTCAGAGTGCCCGTTTATTGAGAGGCGTGTCTATGAATTTTGATGTAACAGATACCAAAAAAGCTCTGCTGCAGAAAAGCGAGAGAGAGATAGAAAGCAAAAGATAATCCATTTTAGTAAAGGACCTGTGGGCAGTCAGACTCAGGTGTGACAGGGGACAGCACACACACACACACACACACACACACACACACACGACAATGCTAGAGGCTTTGCATGGCAATAGAGCAGGTGTGTGAGATGATAAAGAGAGTGATAGAGAGAGATATACATTGTGTCATCACCAATACATTCATATTTTTGATCGTGTAAGATATTTATCTGCCTCCTACACATCAGTAGCCATTAACATCATTTAAAAACCAACACACTAGCTGGTTCCTGTCAAATATAATGCAGTGTTTTGTTGTGTATGATTCAAGCACATATGTTGTTGTATAATGATTTTATGTCCTATGATGAATCTAGAGCTGTTCTAAACAGTCAAAGAACTATTCAATTAAGGCAGCGGCTATTTACACTAAATCTAAAATACATACAGTACAATTTTTTTAAGCAAGGATGATTAAGTTGATCAAAAATGACAGAAACAACATTTATAATGTTACAAAATGTGTCCATTTCACATAAATGCCATTCTATTGACCAAAGAATCATGTATCAGTTTCCATAAAAATAATAAGCAGCACAACTGTTTTCAACATTGATAATAACAAGAAATGTTTCTTCAGCAGCATATTAGAATGATTTCTGAAGGATCATGTGACACTGAGAATGATGACTGCTGAACATTGAGCTTTACCATCACAGGAATAAATTACACTTTAAAATAGAAAAAAAGTTATTTTAAACTGGAATAATATTTATCACTAATACAACATGTATTTGTGGTTTAAACATGGATATGACTAGTGAAAAATGTGTATGAACCACTAATATCAGATGCTTGAAAAACGTTTCTCTTCTTCCTGCAGAGATTATGAATGATGTCATCAAGAAGGTGAAGAAGAAGGGAGAATGGAAGGTAAGACAAACTCAATAACCCCATCACCATAGCAACCACTCTATCCTTATGTCACCGCACCACAGTTTTAATCTTTCATTGAGTCCCCGAGCCGCAGACAGGAAATCAGTGTGAATAATTAAGCCCAAACAATTTCATCTATCCTGTTCTGCCTGTATCACGCCACATGCATATTTATTTCGGTGCCCATATTAATAAATAACAGTTTTCACACTGCCTGCATAAGCAAAAGCAACGGACCTTTCTGTTGCAGTAATGTGTGTTTCTGAGACTCTCTCATTATTTCTGCTCTCTGTTTTTCTCTGTAGGCTTTGATTGTGGACCAGCTCAGCATGAGGATGCTGTCCTCTTGCTGCAAAATGACTGATATCATGACAGAGGGCATCACTAGTAAGTCAATCCACAGTTTTTGACCTCAAATGAAGTAAAAAGTACACCTTTGCTGCTAACAACAAGTCTATGGCTCATGGGACACAAAACTAATAAATATTCTATAATCTCAATTCAGAACTGATCTCTAAACCTCAAACCGTCATATAAATGCTGGAAAATGGTGGCCAGATGGAAATAAACATCTCATATCAACAACCCAACTAAGCACACATATGTCTAGATGTCTGCAAAAGAACAGATCTGGAAAGCATCACATTAAATTTAATTTAGCAATAGGTTACAACATGTTGTGCTATATTATATATATAGTCATGGCTAAAGGCGTTGTTAGGCATAACAGTTGCAACCCCCGCCCCTTCAGCTCTGAATATATTTACAATAGGTTTACAAATATCTGATTAAATCATAATCATCACGAAAACATCTAATGACCATTGTTATAAAAGGAAACCGTTTTAAAATTTTGAAATATTTACCATTTAAAAATGTTTTATCTTCTGCTTATATATATATATATATATATATATACACTTTCTTTATTTATTTATTTTTTATTACCATTTAAGTTTAATTTAGTTTTATTTTTTATTGATTTTTCAATAAATATTTTCATTGCAAATTAATTTCAGTTAGCTGCCAAGGCAACATTTCAAATATTTCAAGTTAAAGTTTTTCATCTAATATTTCTATTTTATTTTATTTCAGCTTTATTTAAATTAACCAAACGGTTAATGAATATAACCCTATATCAGAGAAGCTGCTTCTGTGACTGACTTGCTATTTCTACTTTTACCTCTGCAGTTGTTGAAGACATTAATAAGCGAAGAGAGCCTCTCCCTTCATTGGAGGCCATTTACCTGATCACCCCAACTGAGAAGGTACTCAAACACACTGATTTTAGAAGTTGCTAAAACGATGCTAAAATAACACCTCCATCATAGACTTTTGTCTCGAAGCGTGGAGGCAGAACCTTCACACTGTACACACTAAACATATGTCATTCTCACACACACACACACACAGTATTTACACAGCCTACACAGACAGCCTGAAACTCTTGCCATTTCTACTGGCCATTTTGGTTACTATAACTATAACACAAAACACAAAGACACAGTCTAAAGCTTGTTGTATTTCTCTTACCAGTCTGTGCAGACTCTCGTCAGTGACTTCAAAGATCCCCATTCAGCGAAATATAAAGCGGCTCATGTGTTCTTCACTGACTGTGAGTATCTGAGGGTACTCCACTGTACTTCAAGTGCTCTGGAAGCATAATACACACTGCAGTATTAATGGGACCTCACTCAAAACTAGACTTCTACACAAGCAATCAGCAATACAATGTTTTTAAAGGGGTGGTTCACTGGGTTTTTTCTAGGCTTGATTGTGTTTATGGGGTGCAGTCTAACATGTGTTAACGCTTCGTTTTTTAAAAAACGCATTATTTTTCACATACTTTACCTTTATTCCACACCGCTCTGTCCCTTCTCTGAGAAACGGGCTGATCATTTCCTTCTTTTATGAAGCCCCTCCCTCAGAAATAGGCGATGGGCTCTGATTGGTTAGCTAGCCCAGTGTGTTGTGATTGGCTAAACTGCCTCTAGCGCGCGTCTAAAAATCCCGCCCCTCACCTCGGCGGCATGTGCTCTGGTAGTATTGTAAACAACGGCGTCGTTAATATCGCTTATCAGTTTGAGCCCGATTGAGAAGCAGAGGATATTATTGAAGAGGATCGTGCAGAACCTGTGCAAGCACGGCTTTTAATGGTAGGCCTATGTTTTTTGTTTGTTGTTGTCTCATACTTTTAGATACGCTGTTATTTGTAAATGCTACTGCCTATGTTAGCTTTTAATATACAGTTTTATCCTGATTAAAGCTTTAATACAGTACGGCAACTGCACGCGCGTCCATGTTTAACGCTTCTCATAACTATGTGAAAATAAGTGTATAATTGTAACAGTTCATTGTTGGAGGTGAGGTGAGCTGAATGAGAGAGAGAGAGATACAGAGCGTGTGCAGAGCAGGGGGACGCGAGGAACAGTATTAAGAACCGCTGCTTTACATTTACTTAAGTATTCAGACCCCTTGCAACAACACCTGAAATTTAGCTCAGGTGCCTCCCATTTCTCTTGATCATTGCTGAGATGTTTCTACACCTTGATTGGAGTCCATCTGTGGCAAATTAAATTGATTGGACATGATTTGGAAAGACACACACCTCAGAGGAACTGTCTGCAGAGCTCAGAGACAGGATTGTATTGAAGCACAGATCTGGGGAAGGCTACAAAAAAAATTTCTGCTGCACTGAAGGTTCCCAAGATCACAGTGGCTTCCATAATTCTCAAATGGAAGAAGTTTGGCACAACCAGGACTCTTCCAAGAGCTGGTCGCCCAGCCAAACTGAGCAATTGATGGAGAAGGGGCTTGTCAAAGACAGGTGACCAAGAACCTGATGGTCACTCTAGTTGAGCTCCATGATCATATAAGCAGATGGGAGAAACCTACAGAAGGACAAACATCACTGCAACACTCCGCCGAACTGGGCTTTGTGGAGGTGTGGCCAAACTCAATCCTCTCCTCAGTGAAAACACATGAAAACACACTTGGAATTTGCAAAACAGCACCTAAAGGACCCTCAGACTGTGAGAAACAAGATTCTCTGGTTTGATGAACCTCAATTCCAAGCATAATGTTTGAAGGAATCCAGGCACTGCTCATCATCTGCAGAGTACCATCCCAAAAGTAAAGTGTGCTGGTAGCAGCCTCATGCTGTGGGGCTGTTTTTCATCTGATGAACCTCAATTCTAAGCATCATGTTTGAAGGAAACCAGCTCTGCTCATCACCTGCAGAGTACCATCCCAAGAGTAAAGTGTGCTGGTAGCAGCCTCATGCTGTGGGGGTGTTTTTCAGCGGCAGGGACTGGGAGACTAGTCAGGGTTGAGGGAAAGCTGAATGGAGCAAAGTACAGAGATATCCTCAATTAAAACCTGTTCCACAGCGCTCAGGACCTCAGACTGGACAATAGGCGCGTTTCCATTACAGATTTGCGCAAAACTTTGGCGATATTTTATAAACGTCGATAAAAAAGTATTGCGAAATGACGGCGTTTCCATTAACCAATGTTATG